ACGTTGTGAAATCTGCTTAGGTGATCATGAGGCTACAGATTGTCCAAGGTTAACAAAAATGAATGTAAGAGAAAGGAGACAGGAGGTAAGATGTGGTCTATGCTATTTATGTTTGAGGAAAGGTCACATAGCTATGTCATGCAACTCAGGCTTCAAGTGCGACGTTGAGAATTGAAAGGTTCGGCATAATTCATTATTATATATTGATGGTATTGCTAACCATGTGGTGAACTTAGCTAAGGATTGGAACTCCTCAAAGGTTTGTTTGGGTATCATTCCGGTCAGACTATACGGTCTCAAGGGATTTTTGGAAACATACGCCCTTTTAAACAGTGGTTCAGATACTTCTCTTGTATGTGAAGAGTCAATTAATCAGTTGGGCCTCAAAGGTAAAGAGACTTCGATAAAAGTGACGACTGTGAATGGAACTACTACTTGTGAATGTCTGGAAGTAAATTTAGAGGTATTTCTATTAGATGAACGGGGTTCTATAAGGATCAACAAGGCTTATACGACCAAGAAACCTCCGATCGATTATGCAGAACCCTTAACCGAAATTCGGCTGAGACGGTGGAAACATTTAAAGGACATAACCCTCCCGAGGTTGCAAAGTAATCTTATAGGAATATTGATTGAGTGTGATGCTCCAGATGCACATTGGGTCCTGGAACAACGCCTGGGAGACAGGAAGCATCCGTCTGGTGTGCGTACTCATCTCGATTGGATGATTATAGGTCCTAAAGGAGTATCAAGGTCTCTACATCGAGTTCAGTGGTGTCATTGTTCTACTAATGATATTTTGCGAGATATAGAAAGATTATATAATCATGAGTTCGAGGATGCAGACATGTTTCGTAATGGATATTCTGTCGAAGAAAAAAGAGCTCTAGAAATAGTTAGTAGTTCTTTTAGACTGGAGGGTGGCCATTTCCAAGTTGGTCTACCGTGAAAGTATGACAAGCCAAGGCTACCGAATAACTTGGAACTAGCTGAACGCAGACTAGTGTTTAAGGAAGAGGTTTGTGAAAGATAATAGTCTTCTGGAGAAATATCAAGTTGTGGTGAATAAACATTTGAGTAAGGGCTATATCATTGAAACTAGTAAGGAGGGATTTGACCGTGATGCTGTTTGTTCGTATGTTCTCCATCATCTTGTTATCAACCCTAAAAAGCCTGGGAAACTGAGAATTGTTTTTGATTGTGCAGCTGTCTATCAAGGTTGTTCTCCTAATGGTCAGCTTTTGAGAGGACTAAGTACTGTAAATAGTTTAATTGGTGTACTTCTACGATTCAGATTAGGTAACGTAGCATTAGCCGCTGATACCGAAAAGATGTTTCTTCAAGTAAAGGTCTCGAGACAAGATAGGGGAGCGTTTCGTCTATTGTGGTGGGAAGACGGTGATATAAGACGGCAGGTTACGGAGTATTGTTTAACAGTTCGTCCGTTTGGAGCCGTGTCCTCTCCTTTTTGTGCTAATTTCGCTCTTAGGAAAACGGTAGATACATTCGGTAAGAAATTGAATAAAGATGTCCAGGTAGTCGTAGATAAGAGTTTCTATTTCGACGACTATTTAGCCTCCATCGATAATGTGCAGGATGCAATTGAGCTAGCAAAAACCCTTGGTTTGCTCCTCGGAAAAGGTGGGTTCGGACTTACCAAGTGGATAAGTAACTGTTTACAAGTTCTCGAATCAATTCATCCAGAAGAGAGAGCAGAAGCCGTAAGAGGGATTGACTTTGAAAGACTTCCTACGGAACGCATGTTGGGATTATTTTGGAATACTATGGTTGATTCGTTTGAATTTGAAGTTCGCATACCGAAACGCCCCCTCACTAGGCGAGGTATGTTATCGAGTGTAGCCTAACCTTACGACCCCTTGGGATTGTTAGCACCGTTTATACTTCCCATGAAGCAGTTACTTCAACGTTTAGGTAAATTGGGACTAGGATGGGACAAAGAGATTCCAAATGAGGAAGGCAAACGCTGGTTGGATGTTTTAACTGAATTTCAGAGGGTTGAGAACGTTAGTTTTCCACGTTGTGTATTGTTTTCGCAAACAGACTGCTCGCTCCTGGAACTTCATATTTTCAGTGATGCTTGGGAAAGGATTTGGTGCAGTTGCATGCGTCCGCTCTTACATCCCTGATACTGAAATATGTTCTCGTCTTATTACGGTTAAGGCAAGAGTAACCCCCTTGAAGGTTCAAATTATACCGCGCTTGGAACTTACGACAGCAGTGTTAGCAGCTCACATGGGGTCCCAGCTGCAATCCTAGTTACATATTAAGTTTGCAGAGGTTGGATTTTGAACGGATTCCATGATTGTCTTACATTATATTTGAAATGAGAAGAGCCAGTTTAAAACATTCATAGCAAACCGGATTTCAACTATTCACAGTCTTACTAAGGTGAACCAAAGGAGATTCGTACCTTCGAAAGAAAACATAGCAGACTTTGCATCCAGAGGTCTCAAGTTCAACATCAATGATGTCAAGGTATGGGAGGGTCTACATTTTCTGAAGAAGCCAAAGGAGTGTTGGCCTACTGCTGCTGTACAAGGTCCTGACCCCCATCTCTTGGAATTAAAGAAGGCAATGTCCGCGCATGTAATGGTTGAAGAATCCACCGTTGATCTACTCATTAATTATTACTCAGATCGGACTAGATTACTTAAGGATGTTGCATGGTTAACCCGATTTAAGCGATATTCATTGATAATGCGTTCTGGTAGAACTGATCTGTCTCTACAGGTGGGTATGCTCAGAGTTGATGGGTTAAATTTAACTTGCTTAGATTTAATTCGATATGTCCAACGCATAGTATTCCGGAAAGAGATTGAAATGTTGTCTGATACCATTAGCAAGGTGAAAATAAATCCAATGATGGTAAATGGATTATTGTGTGTCGGTGGCCGACTTCAAATTAGTTCTTGACCCACGTCGAGGAAGCATCCCATAGTATTACCATCGAACCATACAATTTCGAATTTGATTCTACAGTATTACCATATTTTGGAGGGACATGTTGGAGCTACACGGGTAATGGCAACGGTCCGAGAAATATTTTTGGTTCTGAGGGGTTGTTTAGCCATGAGGAGGGTGATAAAGGATTGTGTTTATTGTAAAAGGAGGAACACCCGTCCCATTCAGCAACTAATGGCACCATTACCTCCGATCAGGATAGAAGGTGGTCACTATCCATTTTTATCAATTGGGGCAGATTATTTTGGACCCATTATGGTTAAACATGGTAGAAGTACTGAGAAGCGATATGGTTGTGTATTCACTTGTCTAAGGTTGAGAGCCGTGCATCTGGGGGTGACATATGGTTTTACCACAGACTCATCATGGCACTGATGAGGTTTGTCAGTAGGAAAGGTTATCCAAAAGAGATACAGTGATAATGGATCACATCTGGTGTGGGCTGAACGTGAACTAAGATGTCTTCAGGGTTGGGTGCAGGAGCGTATACACTCTGATTTATTGAGAAAACGGATTGACTGGCATTTCAATCCTCCGGCTGCTAGTCATTGGGGAGGAGTATGGGAGCGCACGATTTGCTCTGTACGTAGAGTATTGGGTGCTATTGTAAAGGAACAATATTTAACAGATGAATACCTTGAAACTGTCACGATAGAGGCTGAGCGTATAATTAACAATCGACCTTTGATTCCCATTACAGACGACTTGAATGATCTCGATGCAATAACACCAGCAAAACTATTGCTACGGAGAGAGAACGTCGCAGAATTCACTAACACTCTATCTAATGACAAATATTCTATGAGATGGAAGCAAGCGAAGACGTTGGTCTGAGGAATATGTTTCGCTGTTGCAGCGTAGAAACAAGTGGAATCAACTAAAGAGGAACATACTGGAGGGTGACTTAGTGATGATATGTTCTGACTTCTCCGAGAAAAACAAGTGGCCCTTAGGTCTAGTACAGAGAGTGTGTTGTAACGGGTGGATTGCAGGTTAGATGCGCAGCGTTTTATTGATCGATTACAGTGACACGGAAAACACGAAATGATTGGCCCTGCTTCGCTGTCTAACCCAGCCAGTTGAGTCCAGAACACAAGTGACAGCCTCCGAGATATGAATCGTTGTATTTCAAACATACTCTGTTTATATACCAACCAAACAGACCACATCGTACCACAAAAATAGAAAACAACATCTGTACAATATTTAACGAGTGAAATAAATAATGGCCAATAGGGACATCATTAGACTTAACATGATAATGATTGGAATATTCCTCTGCATCCATAACAGAGTGATGCTAAGTAAGGATAGAATAGTGAGACAGGTAGAACTGAGGACAAGGAAGGGGACCCTAATAAGAGATGTTCGAAAACTGCGTCTTCCTGAAGCTGCAGATGGTAGGTAGCTACTCGGATCCCTAGGCGTACTGGTGCAAGTACTAGGGATCACGAGGTGGTTGGTGTATTGAATGCTTGTTGTCGATCGCTTGTGATGTACATACTTGGATTCCTGCTACCTATTTATTTTCCTGTAAAAAGAACTTTGGTTCTTTTGGTCGGGAGTGTTACAGGAGAACTGAAGATATTTGACGGATTAGAAACTTTTTATTGTATATTAATAATTTACTGTGTTTTTAGATGTATTTGTTATACTTAACTTTTGAACTTGTTTATATCATTGATTTCGAACATTTCGGTTTCTCTCTGTCATTGGTTTGGTATTTGGGAGTTTTTGCTCCGGGAACCTACAAAATTGAAGGTTTGTTTTGTAATTGTTATAATTATTGTTGTTAGAACGACATTTAGGTCAACTATTTGTAAATCGTGAATAAACTTTGGTATCTAATTGGAATTTGGTTCTATTGTTAATTTGGGTTCGTGAATTGCAAATAGATCGACAAACCGTACTTCAATAAAGGGAACGAGCAAAATCTTGGACGTGACACAGCTGCACAATCAAACATTTTCCCAGGCATCACTGAAAATATGAAGTTCCAGGAGCGAGCAGTCTGTTTGCGAAAACAATACACAACGTGGAAAACTAACGTTCTCAACCCTCTGAAATTCAGTTAAAACATCCAACCAGCGTTTGCCTTCCTCATTTGGAATCTCTTTGTCCCATCCTAGTCCCAATTTACCTAAACGTTGAAGTAACTGCTTCATGGGAAGTATAAACGGTGCTAACAATCCCAAGGGGTCGTAAGGTTAGGCTACACTCGATAACATACCTCGCCTAGTGAGGGGGCGTTTCGGTATGCGAACTTCAAATTCAAACGAATCAACCATAGTATTCCAAAATAATCCCAACATGCGTTCCGTAGGAAGTCTTTCAAAGTCAATCCCTCTTACGGCTTCTGCTCTCTCTTCTGGATGAATTGATTCGAGAACTTGTAAACAGTTACTTATCCACTTGGTAAGTCCGAACCCACCTTTTCCGAGGAGCAAACCAAGGGTTTTTGCTAGCTCAATTGCATCCTGCACATTATCGATGGAGGCTAAATAGTCGTCGAAATAGAAACTCTTATCTACGACTACCTGGACATCTTTATTCAATTTCTTACCGAATGTATCTACCGTTTTCCTAAGAGCGAAATTAGCACAAAAAGGAGAGGACACGGCTCCAAACGGACGAACTGTTAAACAATACTCCGTAACCTGCCGTCTTATATCACCGTCTTCCCACCACAATAGACGAAACGCTCCCCTATCTTGTCTCGAGACCTTTACTTGAAGAAACATCTTTTCGGTATCAGCGGCTAATGCTACGTTACCTAATCTGAATCGTAGAAGTACACCAATTAAACTATTTACAGTACTTAGTCCTCTCAAAAGCTGACCATTAGGAGAACAACCTTGATAGACAGCTGCACAATCAAAAACAATTCTCAGTTTCCCAGGCTTTTTAGGGTTGATAACAAGATGATGGAGAACATACGAACAAACAGCATCACGGTCAAATCCCTCCTTACTAGTTTCAATGATATAGCCCTTACTCAAATGTTTATTCACCACAACTTGATATTTCTCCAGAAGACTATTATCTTTCACAAACCTCTTCCTTAAACACTAGTCTGCGTTCAGCTAGTTCCAAGTTATTCGGTAGCCTTGGCTTGTCATACTTTCACGGTAGACCAACTTGGAAATGGCCACCCTCCAGTCTAAAAGAACTACTAACTATTTCTAGAGCTCTTTTTTCTTCGACAGAATATCCATTACGAAACATGTCTGCATCCTCGAACTCATGATTATATAATCTTTCTATATCTCGCAAAATATCATTAGTAGAACAATGACACCACTGAACTCGATGTAGAGACCTTGATACTCCTTTAGGACCTATAATCATCCAATCGAGATGAGTACGCACACCAGACGGATGCTTCCTGTCTCCCAGGCGTTGTTCCAGGACCCAATGTGCATCTGGAGCATCACACTCAATCAATATTCCTATAAGATTACTTTGCAACCTCGGGAGGGTTATGTCCTTTAAATGTTTCCACCGTCTCAGCCGAATTTCGGTTAAGGGTTCTGCATAATCGATCGGAGGTTTCTTGGTCGTATAAGCCTTGTTGATCCTTATAGAACCCCGTTCATCTAATAGAAATACCTCTAAATTTACTTCCAGACATTCACAAGTAGTAGTTCCATTCACAGTCGTCACTTTTATCGAAGTCTCTTTACCTTTGAGGCCCAACTGATTAATTGACTCTTCACATACAAGAGAAGTATCTGAACCACTGTTTAAAAGGGCGTATGTTTCCAAAAATCCCTTGAGACCGTATAGTCTGACCGGAATGATACCCAAACAAACCTTTGAGGAGTTCCAATCCTTAGCTAAGTTCACCACATGGTTAGCAATACCATCAATATATAATAATGAATTATGCCGAACCTTTCAATTCTCAACGTCGCACTTGAAGCCTGAGTTGCATGACATAGCTATGTGACCTTTCCTCAAACATAAATAGCATAGACCACATCTTACCTCCTGTCTCCTTTCTCTTACATTCATTTTTGTTAACCTTGGACAATCTGTAGCCTCATGATCACCTAAGCAGATTTCACAACGTGAAACCTTGACTGAGTTGCTTGGGTCTCGCCTAATTGCATGAAAGCGTGGTCTCCCATCAGCTTGGTCTTCAGAATTCCTTTTACCGAACCTTGGGTTACACTGTACTAATCTACCATAACGTGTTCGAGCAATTCTGGCCCTCTCTTCTACAAAGATCACAAATTCTTCAAAGCTCAGCTCCTTCCCGTGCATCATGATCTAATCGGCGACTTCCACCCGTCTATTCTATAATTCTAGTGGTAGGCATGAAACTATTACTTCCGAATTAGCCGTAGAATTAACACCAGACATGTATCCCATTTCCTTCAACGTTATACATACATTATGTAACTTAATCGCAAAGTCAGTTAATACGTCAGCTGATCCTTCAATAGATTTGTGGCTTAATAACTCAGTAATTAGTTCTCGTGCAGCAAGGTGCTTCTTACCAAATAAATCATAAAATTCGTTTAGCCCTATCATAACCCAAATGACTGGGCAAAGAAATCCATGCTTCAATAGCCGTTCTGGCCTTTCCTTTGCAATAATATAACAGATACGACAACAATTGGCCCTTATCGGACGGTTTACTCTCTATAATGCTAGTAAACTGACTAATGAAACGGTAGTACTGACCCGGTTGTCCATCACAGTACATCATATCAATCTTAGGTAAAACCATATTATTAACCATTGTATGTAACGTATCCTTCAATTCATCAACCCAGTCGCTTTTTGAGATGTAACATATCTCCCTTGAGTGATTATTACACCCAGTATTACAATCCAAAGAACTTTCCACCTTGGCTTTTATCCCGTATTTGTCTACGGGCAATTGTTCATCGTCCTCGATGACCTTGCATTCCAATTCAGCTATATCAACCTCTTCTTGGAGATCTAACATCTTTTTTCTAAATTCTTTTCCCTCAGTAATGCTTTACCTAACTTTAATCTAGAAGTACTAAGCTGACTAGAGGACATACTATTAATACTAACATCACATTTATCATCATTAACGTCATACATACCACAAGCAGCTCTGGAAATTTTACCATCCAATTCGTCATTTTCCCTCGGTCTTTTGCTTCGTGTTTCCATAGTATACCTTCGTTCCAAAACAAATCCGAATTATTCCAAACGAAACCGACCAGTAGAACCAGAAATTTGGATCCAAAATTATTGTCCAGACAAACCCACTGTATGAACGCAGAACCAGAATTCAAGAACTTTATGTCACGTCCAAGTTTTTGCTCGTTCCCTTTATTGAAGTACGGTTTGTCGATCTATTTGCAATTCACGAACCCAAATTAACAATAGAACCAAATTCCAATTAGATACCAAAGTTTATTCACGATTTACAAATAGTTGACCTAAATGTCGTTCTAACAACAATAATTATAACAATTACAAAACAAACCTTCAATTTTGTAGGTTCCCGGAGCAAAAACTCCCAAATACCAAACCAATGACAGAGAGAAACCGAAATGTTCGAAATCAATGATATAAACAAGTTCAAAAGTTAGGTAAAACAAATACATCCAAAAACACAGTAAAATTATTAATATACAAAAAAAGTTTTAATCAGACAAATGTCTTCAGTTCTTCCGTAACAATGACGGGAGGAAATGTCAAAATTTGATTGATTTACTCATTATGATTTTTATTTAACATTACATCCGCTTTAAGTTAATGTAATGATTACACAGCGCAGTATTTATTTCTGTTTTCCGGCATGATATTTTATTTTGTGTAACATACGATATTCTTGTATTTATTTGAAATGAGTTATGCTCAACATGTGACTTGTTATAACTGTAACTGTTTCTCATATATGTCATTTCATTCTAATTATTATTCAACATGGGTGTACAATCAATGTACAAATGAGTGTATTTTTGACTAGAGTCGTTGTCGGGTTTTGGGGGTTAATAAATCTTCACTTTTATCAGTCTGTTCTTACTTTCGCGCTGTGGGAATTGCAGAGGTATAAGTGATCAGTGATAAGCGTTTCTGACATACAAAAAAGGTTTTAATCAGACGAATGTCTTCAGTTCACCCGTAACAAACTGTACATCAAGGTTGTAGCAGGTAAATAAACTCGATAAATAAATAAGTAACCTCAAATCTTGTACGATGCCGGGCCGTGACGGATTACATGCACGGCTGCTGTCATCGCTTGCGGACATTATTTCAAAACCGCTCGTGACACTTCAACATGTCCCTTCCACTCGCTCGATCCCCTAGAGATTGTAAAGACGCCGTCGTCAGTCCTATATTTAAAGATGGTCAGAGACATATCGCACCTAACTACCGACCTGTCAGTCTAACTAGCATTGTCGTTAAGTTGCTTGAAAAGATAATTCGGGTTAGGTTGCTAAGCCACATAGATTCACGCAATCTGTTAGCTCCTGAGCATCACGGATTTCGTAACAAGCGTTCATGCTTGACTAACTTACTTATTGCGAGAGAGGATTGGACAGTAGCCCTAGATAACGGTCTGTCTGTCTGTCGATGTGATAGATTTTAGCAAAGGATTCGACAAGGTTTCACACTTAGGTCTTATGCAGAAGCTCACGAGCTTCGGAATAATAGGTACTGTAAGGGGGTGGAAAGGTAAATTCTTATGTGACCGCAGACAGAGAGTAAGGGTCAATGGGACGCTATCCGATTGGAAGCCGGTCAAAAGTGGTGTAATTCAAGGCACCATCTTAGGCCCTCTGCTCTTCCTTCTCTATGTTAATGAGTTACCGCTATTGCTTAGGTCGTCGACATTATTGTCTGCGGATGACGTAAAAATCTGGAGAGCAATGAAAAGTGAGGCTGATCATTTTGATCTCCAAGCGCACTTAGACGAATTAGTTAGATGGGCTCGAGGTTGGGGCTTAGAAATCAATTCTAAGAAGAGTGTGCTAATGCACATCGGTCACGGTAATAGTTACCATTATACTATTGATGGTAAACCTTTACCATGTGTTCAAGAGCGTAAAGACCTAGGAGTAATAATAAGTCATGATTTAAAAACAACTACGCATTGCAGTGCAGTCGCTGTTAAAGGTTTTCGTGCGTTATGATCACTTCTCCGAGCGTTCAAATCTTTTGACAAGGAAATGTTCCGAATATAACATTTAGGAAAACGAGGGCAATAACTATATGGCGATGTAAATTTTGGAAATAGGAAAACCATAAAAATCGCTGGGTGAATTTACAGATTTCATTTTACAATATTACTGTCTGATTCCCGTTATAACTCAGTTATCAGTTCAACATACCCCAAATCCTGTTTCCTCAGTTATAAACATACTTCTGCGTTTATTTATCAAGACGCTGTAACAACAAGCGACGTGGTTACTGATGTAGGAACATGGTTGTTTCAGTCTCAGAACTAAAGTCAATGCTTCATTTTAATGAAGATGTGTTCATTAAATCTCATATATTGGTTGTGAGTGCATTAATGGAACACATGCCCAGAAAATCAAATCCGGAATTGCACTCAAAATCTATAGACATATTTAACGAGGTAACTGAAACATCTCGTGATGTAATAAGGAACAGTTTTGTGATTGAAGACGTCAACAAGTTCTTTAATAATGTTGAACCTGGGCAATGTTTAAATGCTCTTTTATCAGTTTCATCATACTCTAATTGTTCAGTCACGTCAAGTGAAATTCAAAATAATTGTGAGACAAATGTTTAAAATGAATCGATTTTTGATCAAATTCTTGATGCTGTCAAATCAGATGCTGACAGTCCTAATGATTCATTGGTTTCTAATGAAGTCTTTAGTGAATTTGAGAAAATATTTTAAATTATTCAAATCCTGGAGATATCATAATAAATGTTTGTTCGCACAAGTCATTCGTTTCTAGTGAAAACCTTAGTCAATATGAAGCACAAGTTCCCAATGGGTTCAAATCTACTTATAGTTCTGATGGGCTCATATCATATGTTACTTACCCTTACAATCCATTTGCTTCTAGCCAGTGTAAGAAAAAATGTTTTAAACGAGTTGTACTGTGATCACATTTCAGATGTCATTGTAGATGTTGGGTCCTCTCACACCTCATGTATTTTACATAGATTCCCTCCTCCATGCTGTTATAAATCAATTGACGTAACAAGTGTTTGCGAAACCAGAATGTCCAGGAGTCACAAA